CTCTATGAACACATCGATCGACATCGCTCCGCGTTTGACGCGCCTTTTGTCCGTCGAAAGTGAGTCCCGTGCGGAAATAAGTATCGGGAGTGTCGGAAAGAGCGATGTACGATCGTCGGGACGAATGGAAAGTACGTTATTTTGGAGTGATATCCTCGTTTCTCTTTCGCGATATCCAACTGCTGCTTGTTGGAACGCGACTGCGTGTCGCGTCTTTCCCGCTTGTAAGTACTATCGATTCACTCAAGTAACAACTCGAATCGAGCGAATTTATTTTAGTCGGGAATTAGAAACGCGGTAATTGGGAGGATAGATAAATAATATGACACCGCAAACGTCGAATCTCGGTAAATAGCGTCCGTTTGTTAGCAAAGGATCATACATCGGACTATCGTGGCGATAACAGGATTATCACGTCCTAGAAGTTTGTATTATATTTATATTGTGAATAAATATATTTGCGCATCTGGGATAATTACAACGGTCACGTCGATGCGGCGCTTGTCGCGTACATTTCAATAATTCATAATTACAAAATCAAAACACGTATGGATTATTAAATCACCGCTCATTATAAAATTACTCAGAAATAATAACCCTAAATATCATCGTAGCACGAATACTGCAGCGTCATATGCAATTCATACTTGTTTATATTATTATACTGATTTATCCCAATTAATATTTTGCTGGTTATTATTTCATCGAATTAATGTTATAATTCTCCCTTGCTCTCTCAACAAACTTATAAATAATTACGCGATAAGAGAATCAATTCTTCGTTCGATCGTGCGAAAGGGATATAAAGTTGAAACAGAGCACGAGAACGCATCGGCCTAATATATGGAAGGTGGTGAAGAGAATGGGAGAGAAAGAGAGAAGCGAAAAAATGTATCACGGCATGGAAACCCGGCCGCGAACAGCCTGAATGGCTTTAAAATAGCCATTTGGACGAGTTTGGACGATGTCCAATTTCAGACGGTGGAATTTTTCTTGTGCCCGCGCAGCCGCCAATATTTGTTTTGTATCGGTACCTTAGAATGGTACATGTTCATTTTCATTTGAATGTGCCTTCGTTTCCGATGGTAATGATAATAAATCGCGAATATCGCTGCGCGGCTTCACATTCGCGCAATGTTTTAAAAACATCGTTTTTTTCTTCCCCCACGAGACACATACGCCATAAATACGCTTTTGTAGCAGTTCATGCTTTATTTCGATTCATTGTACGGTACTCTCTACATTTTTCATACAGCGCAGCTGGTTTCGCGAAAGCGACCGCTGCGAAATTTTGTCGTTCCACGTATAAAGAAGGTCTCGTTTCTTATGAATTCAACTTGCGGTTTTGTTCGCAGTTTATGACATACGAGAGGTTTTAACGAGAAACGTAGAAAGACAAACACTAAAAAGAGGAACAGTTGCTTTACGCTGCTGTGCTGTGTTTCATTATGATTGAAATGAACTCCACTTTAGCGGAATTAAATTAATTACTTTTAGAATACTGTGCATTTAATTAATACAGATTTAATTTCGTGTTTCATTAAAAAGTTATTCGAAATGTTGGAACCAAATATCGGGAATCGTTGCAAAAGGTGGCGTTTAATCAAACTTTCGAAGAAAAATCGATTGCTACGGTAAGGGGGAGTTTCGCGGGATGCTTTAAACATCTATGCGTGCCATCGCTGCTGTGCGTATGTGTGTGTGTGTGTGTCCGCGCGCGCGCATGCATGCATGTATGCATGTATGTGCGTGTGTGATCGAGAAAGGGTAATCGCATTTAGATTATATGCTAGATATACTACGGTACCCGAGCTGGCATTACAAGCGCGAGTGTATCGATTTGTCGGTTGACTGATTGACGTTCTCGCTAGACGCTGCGTTGTTGTAGCGTCGCGTCGCGTCACTGTGCACCGATGTCAACACAAATCCTTGCATGCCATTAACGACAACAGGTCGACTGGTTGCACGCAGGTGGAAATCGTGCGAAAGTTTACGCGCGGCGTGATGCGGGATCGAGCGCGGTCACATCGATGCCGCAGAGCTAACAACAACATTGGTTCTCGATGTGCATTTTCAGCGAATGATTTTATAACATAGACATACGGAATAGACTGCGTATTGCTGTAGGAATGAATTAGTGAGAGAGAGCAAATAGAGAGTAAGACGTTTTTCTTGTCTAGTCGGTGGAGAATAAAGAGAGGAAGCGATCAAGTGCATGCTCTTTTTCTTTCACTCTCTTTTGGCTCTCCTACATTGCCTCTTCCTAGCTTGCATTCCAAGACATTCTTTCTGAAGATAATTTTACTGAAAATCTATAATGTAACGTGAAGTATTTTCAATCTATAATGTAACGTGAAGATTTTCAGTAAAATTGTCTTCAAAAAGGACGTTTTAGAATGCAACCTTAGAGTACTGTGTAACAAGAAAGCATTTGATTTAGCACTTAAATTTGAGTGCGCGATCTATTCTATAAGTCTATGCTTTGTAAAGTCGCGTATGATCGCGCAACCATCGCATTTTCGCAATCGTACGAATTCTCGTTGACGTCTCTTGCCGTTGAAACAGCGTCGAGAACACATCCTATCTGAAAACGCGTAATTCACGTTTGCGGAGAATTATTGAGTCGCTGCCGGTCCCAAATAGCTATCAAATATTGGCAATGACTGATATAATAATTTGGAATTTCAAAGTACAGCCGGCTCATACCGGAGATATTGAATTGCAAATAATATTGGTTTACATTCATTAACGAGTTTCGGCCGCCATGAAAGAGGCGAGAGGAAGGCGAGGAGGCATAGTGTAATCGAGAAATCGACGTAGATTACCTATACGTCACGTGCGCACGCGCACGTTCTCGCGTTCTTGAAGTCTGTATTATTCAAAATAAGCAGCTTACGACGCTATAGAAACTCGGACGTGTGCATGTGAAGAACCGCCCGACTCTCATACGCCATATCCGTTTATTGTTTAATAATCGAGTATACGTCTCTGCGTAATACTTAATACTTTCCGCTCGACGGAGTGTGAAAATTGGTCTAAAATGCATTTCAATGCAATTATTGTCGGGGATACGAGGGCTGTCAGCCGCTTCACGAATACAATACGCGGTAAGGAAGACGAGAGTGCTAGGAAATGATACGTGACGTCCGCGAGGTCATCACGTAATAAATTAAATTTTACGACGGATCTCCCTGCGATACGTGCAAAATTTTAGCCCGATTTTTCCACGATAAAGATTCGATAGTAAATCTAATTACTTTCTGCGACACTTGAAATTTCATCATTAGCTTTCGTTTTAATCAAGTCCTAAATTCAACACATTTTTTATATGCTTTGACGAGAAACCTTTTAATACTTGGACCTCGAGAATCGGATAAAAGAGACAGAATAAATTTTTTTACCATATCGTATATTAATGAATGTCTTTGATGAGAATGTTTGATCTTTGCATATCCTTATAAAAATATGCCGTCAACATTTATACATGTAACGACAGTCACTCGAAAGCTTGAAATTCGAATAAACGTCTCATTAACGGGCATCGTGTGCAACAATAATTGTTTGCATATACCTTTATTCATTTTCATTTTCCTCGTGATTCATTCGACCGCGATGTGTTCTCAATCATCTTGTAGCCGGCAAGTACTGAGCCGGCTATATCAATCCAAATCTCAATCCCATCAATGCGACATCGTTTATCAATTTGCGGAGGCTTCCGTGCTTCATTCATAACGCTACATATAGCGATGCGAATCAATGGAACGTTCCTGTTGGTCGATTGATTCGTCACCATTGACAGTAGTAATTAATAACAATGAATAAACACAACGAGTTCTACATAAAGAACATATCTCTCTATTATTTCGTGTCACAAACAAATCGGTATTCGAAATCACTTAGATATCGAGAATTGCTTCGCGTGTTGTCAGTCGTTCGTAACTTTTATTATTCCGCAAATTATTATTGCCGCGGCGGTAATCTCAAACATCCACTTGAGCTTCTTCCGCGAAAGTACGAACGTAATGCGCTCCCCTTCTTATTTCACTAAATTGAATGAGGAATCACATATCCGGATAATATACACGCTAGCCAGATTATCCGCAGGTACACACATATACGCGGATAATCGAGTGTGCACCTTATATCCGGTATCCCTATAAGTCTTCGTCACACTATTCTAAAGCGCCTCTTTCGTTCAGATTCCCCGCATTATCTCGGGACGGGCCGTTTGAAATAAGGAGCTTACACGCGCACTTGTGTGCGACAGCACACCGGATGCACTTGTGCATACGTACAGGCTGCCTCAGAATTATCGTTCGTCTCTCTAGACGACTTCAAGACGAATAAACGAATGAACCAACATCGATGGTGTCAGAAAAACAAGAAAAAAGAAAAGTATTGTTATCAGTAACGTTGGAATGTACACGGAAAAAAAGGTTTGGTTGAATTAACCAAATATCTGGTCGAATATGAACGATCCAGAAATTCCGATTGAAGTAACCCGAATTCTGTTTAAGTTAACAAGATTTTTGGTTGACTTAAACAGAATTACCTCAATTGGAATTTCTGGATCGTTCATATTCGACTAGATATTTGATTATTTCAACCAAACCTTTTTTTTCCGTGTAGCGTTCGAATTTTTACGTTAAATTGTACACCTAATTATACATGTTAAACTATATATGTATGTGAATATACATACACATGCAGGCAAGACACGGTGACACGGAGAATTGTCGTGTAATCTTCTTAATCCTCAAATATCTGCGTAGGAAGAGGCAATATTTGTCCCTTGAGTTAAATAAATTTCTCCCTTTGTCTCTCCCTCCGACCGTGGACTCATACAATAAATTAGTGGCCGGTATTTGCTTTACGTGTATGTTGGCTCAATCATTTTCTCGTGGTACATGTACGCGAGCGCGTAATAGGATGAACGATAATTTTGGAGCCTCCTGTATATGCACACATTTAAACGTGTGTAGAATACGTGGCATACCTACCGTCGTAAGTGGAGTACGCGACCATAATATCTGCATAGGCGGGGATGCTGTAGTACGTAGTCTTCTTGCTATCTGTCTCATGAATAATTTTCACCCCTTTGTCCAGTTGCGTCCCGCGGCACGCCTGCGGAAAAGAAAAATGCATGTGCAAGCGACGATACTGGATTTCGCCGCGCGCGTAAAAGATGTATGGGAGCCGTGGGAGATTTCCTTCGCGCGGAAACGTGAGCATTCCGCGAATTGTTGGAAAATGTTTTAACGCGGCGTCGGAATCCGATCGCGAACATTTATTGAGACACTCGAGTAAACCAGGAAAAAAGAGAGAAGAAAAAAAGGAGAGAAAAAACGTGAAACGCACGCAAACTAGTCGAATCTGACGGCTAAACTGCGAGCCATGCGTACAGTCGCGTTATAATGCAGCTTTCCGAAGTTTCACGTTTACGTAATCGAGCAATTTTCATTTATATTATTCTCGCGCCTTATATATTTTAGATTTGTTTAAGAGAGTTCGATATGTTCAATATGGAGCAATATAGAGGGTGAACCGTTATATTGTAATCGGCTATTCAATAATAGTGAATACAAAACTTCCAAATGCGCATCTACATGTATGCATTTGTGTATACGTACGTTTGGCACATTCAATCGAGGCCAACGTTCAATCGATTGTCGTTAATGTAACCAACCAAAAAATATAAAATCAACGAATTGCTAGATTATCTGTTCCAATATATCTTGAGCAAATTATATTAATTCAAATATTTATTTCAAATAGCTAATCTGAATATATATTTTTATTTGACCTTGTGCCGTTTTCCATTGACAATATGCGTAATAGAAATATTAATTAGATTTTAAAGAAGTGACGTTTCAATCCCTCAAGTGGTATGTCTAAAGTTTTTTAAGTGAGAGTTAGGATATTATCCACCACACATATTGGAAAACAGTGAATGGGTGAAAGAGAAGCTGCAGCTTGTTTCGTCATTTCAGTCTTGGAACTTCTCTCTCTTACTCCTATTTGTTTCTTTCCTTATCTAGTTCAAGAATCATCATACGATGTTCTAACTGTCTTATTTGAAGAACTAGATATGTTCGAAAATTTTCATGGCAAAATATTGAATTTCATTTGACTCACTTAAATTATTGTATTTTTTAACTCGTAGCAAATACAAATTAAGTATGTCTTTTTATTCTATTTTCCAAAATTCTTCAAAGAAAATGGAAATGAAGAAAAGAAATATATAGAAATAATAGAATAGATAGAAAGAGTATATAAGGAAATGTGCTTATTTAAAAAAACAACACAACTGGAGGAAATCGCGCGCGCGTTCTCCAGTTATTTTAAATTACCACTGAAGCAGTAAGATGATCGAACAGTTATTTTAAAATAAAAAGAAACACAGACGAACTTTTGCGAGTGACATTTAGTTCCAATCTCGTCATTTTTACACTAATAAAGACGCGCGATGTGGCTTGATATATTAAATGGCTAACGGTTTCTAATGCCGAACGATCGCTTCACTTCGATACCAGTGATAGAACGTACGAGACAATTACACGTAGATCTATCGATGTTTACAGCGTCGTTAACGGAAAGCGCGGTGACTCGTACGGAAGTGCAGTAAGAAATATGGAGGTCTCTTACTTGAGGCCAGCGTGGTTGCACGCGGCTTTCAAGCACACAGGAAACGGCAGTGATTCCGATAGATACGGCCGCAGTGTGGCATGAATTCCCGTCGCAATTTACATCGTTTACAAATCCTGATAATCCATTGCGCTCGCGTCGCTTCTTGACTCCCCGTCGCGCGGTTCAAATTTCTCGTACGGAGATATCGGATACGGACACCGTACGAATCATCAAATCGTGATTAACTATGCTCGTTAACTTAATCGCGACCGATTATGCGAAAACGAGTCAGTTTAATGTGCCGAGTATTGAAAGATGCAACGCATGATTCGCATCGTTACGCGCAGCACGCGCGTACTCGTTATTATTCCTAAATGATCGATATGCCGTGTCACGTGAACTCGACCAATTTGTTGAGTGCGTTTTTCGCACGGATAAGCGAGTGTCTGTCGGTAATGATTGTTTCGTGAGAATTTTCGGGCGCAATCTCGACGTTGGAAGGCGCGAGGTTAAATTACTAATCATCCTGATCGTTACGATTGCTGACTTTATCGCGCTCATTTATCCCCGTCGCGCTTTATCTTCGGACTCACTGATCCTCCAACTCTATTCGAGACGAAAGCGGTAATTTCGGGAGGTATCCGGCCAGTTGGCTTTCCGGGTCGTTTTCTTTCGTGACAAGTAAATTACAATCATTACGATCGGAATAGTGGGTCCTGATAAATCGTCCTACGTGCAATCTCCGCGTCCGTCCAATACATCGACCGGTGATCTTCAATGATCGGAAGTTGCATTTGCGTCCGAAAATGAGCAAGCAGATAGAATAATCTCATTCACGGAGAGAGTATTATAGTTCTTTTTCTTATAAACATTTTTCAATTTTACTACGTTTTTAGTAATCCAGAAGCAGACTGTCAGTAATATCTGTTTTACTGAGGAACATAATAAATGTTCCTCGCTAAAAACATAGCAAGTATTTTAATAGCACATTTTAGTTCCTAAAATATAAGTAGCGCATATGAAATGAAATGAAAATGGATTATTGCAGAATGTCGATCTATTCTTCTCGGTTACAAAATCCTATAATATAATTTTTATTAGAATTCTCTCCGTGTACTCTCTTCGAGAATTTTCGGCGATACCCGAATCAGAATTTTGATCTTACTTTAGAACTCAATACTCCATTTCACACCTACTTTGATACTCTAACGTCTGTATTAGCTTCTTTTCATTCCATTTAACCTACTGGCTTTGCCGACAGTTCCTCTTTAGAACTCGCAACCGGCATTTCGTGCGTTTTCTGCCATTTAGAGACGCAAAGGACGGCTTTATTTTTCACGTTTATTCAATACACGCTAATCCTTTAGAATATATAAAAAGCTAGAAAGTAAAGGTCGAGAGAGTAGAACTAAAATTTCGACTGGAGTATTTCTATTAAAATTAGTTCAGTTTTCGTCTTTTCGTTATATTTGTCGAAATTTAAACCGCACTGTCATACATTGTCCCCCTGCATCGCAGAATTGTAAATGTAATGATCGGAGATAAATTTTCCAACACGAAAACGTGAGCATATGAAATTACTGTAGTCCGTATCTCGTAATGAAATCGCGTAACTTATATCTTCGTTTCTATTGAAAATGTGAATATTTATGTGTGCATACGAATGTCACGCGCGCGAATATATCGTGAATACACGCGCGACGATGACGCATCTAGAAGAACGCACGTTACCGAGTTTTCATGACCGTTTCAAACACCCGAGCGTTTCGGTCGATCAAACATTTGTGCGCGTTGGAAAGGGAGCGTGACAGAAATATTCGTCGATAAAAAAAACAAAAGAAGAAGGCAGATGCACATACATAAAAAATATTGCGCGCGCGAATTGTTGTGGTTTTCCTTTTTCTTTTTTAGTTCGCCCGGCGGCGAAATCCTCGAAGCGATGCACGCGCACATTACTTTGGGAATTATGCAAATAACAGTTTTTGCGGTCGCTCTCTTTCTCCGGCGAGAGGCGGGACGGGGAGTAATCTTAATTACTGCGGGTGCGCGGACGCGGGGAGTCGCCGCCGTCGTCGTCGCGCGAACAGGTTCCATTACATTGCAGAATGCACATATTTCATTGGCTGCGTCCGCTAAAAACCCGACGGTGCACTAATGTGCGCGAGACCGCAAATCCCTCCGAGATCGTCGTGAGGCAGATAAATGGGGAATGTCTCTAAATGGAAAGCGATCTCGGCAGGATTATTCCCGGGAAAAGAATTAGATCTAGCGCGGCATTGTTGTCGGAATTATGCGACCGCGCGCGGACTTAATCGTTTTTGAAATACGGACGATCGCCGCAATTATGCCGTTCTCATTTGCGACGCGGCGTGGCACGGCGCGTGTCGTATTTAGGATTAGCTCTCCGCCGCGCAGCCATCCATTTTAGTATCATCTATTTCAACGTCACCTATTCCCATCCGTTAGAAGGTAATCACGAAGAACCCAAGGAAAACTCTGCTGCGCTAGTTTTAACGGCAAGTGCGCGCGTATAACGGGTATCGATGACTGAAACATGATTCTTCTGCTGCTTGAAGGATTTCAGATAGCAAAGTGTATTAATTAACAATATCTTCAAATTTGATATAACGAGTGGCAAGCAAGCTTGAAGTCGATCAGAGTATTTTTGCGATTTAGATCTCTCACTTGGAATAGATTAAGGTGAACAACAAATAAAGCAGTAGAGAGTTTTTGGTAACCTATACGTCAAATTTTATAAGGCAAAGTAATAATCTTTCTCGTTTTTCAACCGAGCGAAATAACCGACACGGATATCCTTTCTTGCCGTCACATCCCGAGCGTGCGAGACACGCAATCGCATTTCCAGCTAACTGAATTTATATCTGTCGCGCGCGGCAAAAATATCGTATATCAGAAGCAACTGGGAAAAGTAATTATCTTCTTTTATTTTTTTTTTCACGTTCTCGTTTGTTTTAATGGCGACGCCATTAAAATACGGTCGTACCTTCGCAAAATAAGAGCAACGCGACGATCATCGCGACTTGTCCCACGGGCTCTTGTACTCTTGACACACAATTTCCCCGGATTAATTATCTAAGGATAGTACGTCGGTCGCGAGTAACTCTTTTGTATCTCCGACTCGCGCAAGTATTCAAACTTGTAGCATACTTTATTAATCCTTTGAATGCGGGGCACTTTACAGCTAAACGTTTGCTGAGGAGCAACCTTCAGTTAACTTAACTAGCTGGTTATCCCATTGGACTTGACCAATCGCATTTGACATTAAGAAGAGTTAATCAGAATTAACCAATTGCTATTGGGACTTAACCGTTAATTAAAATTAAACAAATGTTGTGGAACTTGCCCTTAAGTCCATATTGATGGTCGACACTTAAAACTCATCTCACATAGGATATCCAGACCTGAATCTGGACTTGGATTTGAATTTTTCAGTTGAATCATATGATACATGTAACATTATATTTACAATAGTGATTCTCCACTGAAAAAATCATATCTAACGCCAGAATGATAGTTTACATTTGAAACAAATTGTTTCATGTGAAATGCTCAGATTTTTATTCTCATCTAGATCCAAGTTTTTCAGTTGCATTGTATAATACATGTGACATTTGTATCTATAATTGCGATTCAACTGGGAAATTTTCATCTAATTTTGAATTAAGATCTGAGTATCTCTCATTAAGGAGAGTTTCAAGTAATAACTATTAATACATATTATACTGTCAACTCACGTATAAGTATCTCACCTGAACAAGTTTCAAGTAACGACTATTAATACAGGCTTTAAGTCAATCGGCGAAAGTAACATTTTTTGACGAATCTTGAAGAATTGAAAAGCGCAATGGATCGAGGCAAATGAAATCTCATGTATTGCCGCCGTTAAAATAATAAAAGAACATGAATATAGGTGCGACAGTTGATGACTATTGTTCGTGTTGAAAGTGCAAGCTGAAGAAATGCATCAAATATGTATACGCGTTCATAATACTCAAAGGATTAATGGAACGAAGTCGCGCGAATACCTTTGCGAGCTACCATATCATCGTCAGAGTTCGTCGTTGTCAAACGCTACTCAGGCATGAGAGAAACGATGCACCGGTCGGAAAGTAATCGAAAGATTCCACAAGAATGAAAGACGAGCGGGATCAGCGCGGATTCGCGAAGAGATTCTTTCGGACAAATTTGGCCGAGGGACAGTTACGTCATTAACAACGATTAAGTCAAATGTCAATCTCTGTACTCATAGTACAGAACTCGCTCATTAATTTAAACGTCACTTCACGCGATCCGTACGAATCCGCGCGCGAATTTCTCATTCTGTAGCAATGCGCATTTAGACGGTTCATTCGGAATGATCCATCACGAGTGATCGTCGGTTCGCCGATGAAAGCAAGAGGAAGAGAAAGAGAAATAGAGAGAGAGAGAGAGAGAGAGAGAGAGAGAGAGAGAGAGAATGGGCCCGATTCTTTGAATCTCGTGCCGCGGTTGATTGTTCAGCGGCGACGCGCGCAATTCGGACGTTTCATCCGCGGCGATATGTACGGCGCACCTGTCAGATAGCGTACCTGAATGAAGAACAACTTCGGTTTCCCGGCTAGGCTGGAGCATCGATCGCCCGTGAAAGGAGTCCACAGCATATCGACTGGATACAGACTGTCGGTCGAATGCAATAGACCCGACTCGCCGTGTGACATTGCGACCACGATCAGGCAGTCGGCATCCGTGTGGTCTTCCGCAGCGGCTTTAATGAAAGGATTAATTAATCCCTCGCGGTGGGCGTAAACGGTCGTCGGACTGTTTAGCCTAATAGTTTGCGCACAAACAAGCGGCTTCGAGGCAAGGGAGAGTTTGGCAGTGAGCGGGAGAGATTCGCGCAGATATTGCCGTGGTGTCGGTTGACGAACATGGCCGCCGCGCTGCACTCGCATCCCCCGGATTTTCGTATTAACACCGAGGAATTAGGAATGAAATTTCTTCCGTCCTCCCGTCCCTCTCGCCCTTGAGTAAAATTGTGCGAAAGAATTTCTTATTAAGGTCCCGGGACGCGGCTGTGCGACCGTGAGTTACGACGCGCGAGGCGAGAAATTACACGCAGTTTACTTTTCTCGCATTAACGACACGCGTCACGGCGCAAAAAGCGAAGAATGCAAATAGTTTTTCCGCGCTACACCGGGACGACGATACGGGGTTACGATGACGTTAACATAGGTATAGGTCACTAAAATAGTACAAATTGATCGCTTTTGTTTCCCCCTAAAAAGCAAGTGAAAACGTGCGGAATGAAATTTGCCCCGCTCGCTCGCTGATTGCATCCATTAAACGAAATATAGGTCGTAACGGCTCTCTCGCTTTTAGAGGAGGTAAAAATGTTCGATCCTTTGTCCGGTTGCGGCCGAAATTAATTTTGCGTTTTTGGATACGGTTGATACACTTTTGTGCGGATGATATGCTGATTACGGATGAATATAAACGGATATATTTTGTGAATGCGCGCTTGTATTGTCCATGCTCATTCCGTCCGTCTCGTTCACTTTGTGAAATAAAAACTTTCATCACGCAAGACTAGCTGTGATATTCATCGCAGCTTCATAACTTTCGAGACATTTTAATAAAATGGAGTAGCATTAAATCCTTTTCAGGACAAAGTCGCCGCTCGCTGCCGCGCTGTTCACGCGCGCGGATTTGCGACGCGGTTTTAACGAAGGGATTGATTAACACTCTCCGCATTTTCGCGGCAACAATATCGCTGTTTATCGCGACTCGTTGCGTGTCGCGATGATCACACATAGCGAGCGTATCGATTATGGTGCCGCTTGTTACGTCCTAAAATGCAATAATGAACGAATCGTGCGCAAACAACAATATTATTTCTCCCTTTTTGGAGAGAGAGAAAAATAAGCGAGCGAAAATACAAATCTGCCTGCACGTAGCGAGTTCAGTCAACAAAATTGACCGACCACGCCGGCCGAGAGAGAAAGGAAGAAAGATGCACCACCGTTTACTCGGGGATGCAAAATATCTCCAGAAATGACCACATTATTTTTACATGCCGCCCCGTTTTTTTCAGCCATGTTTATTGCAAAGATTACGGCGATCCCATTTCACAGTCGTTTGTTCGGTCTTTATCACGGCCGCCGGTCGGGATCTCTTCTAGCGATTTACCGAAATCCGCTCTTTTTTCTTATCACTTTATTGGACATTTTAATCACGAGTTCTTTCCCTCTTCTTCGCGCTCCCCCTTTCCCCTTCTCGTGCCCTCACCTTTGACTTTAGTGCAGTCGGCGATACACCGCGACGAGTCGTTCTTACGACTTCGTCCGCGCGAAACATCGATCTTTGTTTCTGGGGGAAAGCATTACATTCAAGGACGGTCGATAATCCAATTAATCCGCAGTGCCTCGGACCGGTAATCCCGGCGCGCGCTTGTAATTAAGGAGCGGGATATAAATCGCATAAAGAGCACACACATATACACACATACACATCGGCTGTGGTAGCAAAATCGACGCGAGGCGTATCCAGTTCGTGAGTTATACATGATACATGCGGTCAGGAAAATGACCTCGCAAAAAACTCCCCGCTGAAACGACGCTGCCATTCGCGCTCTGTTTCCTGGGAGGACGCGTTTCCCTCGGAGTTTGTTGCAATGAAAGCTCACGCTCTCCCCGCAATCTCGCCCGCGGGCAAGAAGGGAAAAACTTGGCTGCGTGGAAAATCGTACGGTATTCATCCGAGGCGCGGTTATACGACTCCCCACCGTTGTAACGATCATCGTCTGATATCGCGTAATTTTAAACTCTTGCGCAACTGTCGTCGCACAAGAAAAAGAAAGTTCAACGCGATAATCTTTGCAATCGCCTGTTATCTGATATTATCTCGAGCCTGCTAGGATTACTCTCCCTCCTGTCCCTCCCTGCGATTTTCGTTTTAATTACTTGTCGAGCGATAAAATAATCCGCCTTGCGGATCCCCGCAGACAAGCGTTCGCTTGTTGAAGTAAAAGCATCAGGACACTAATAACACTGGTACTTAATTCTAGCTGTTCTTGTTGTCTTCTGGTCTTCAAATACGAATAGTTACACCTTCAATATAGAATGTACAGGATGTCTGACAATTCATGACCCATCCGTTGTGCGCAAGGTAGAATTTTCCGATAAACTTGAGGGTAGTCTCAGAAACGATCGGGCGTGTTGCTTGAACGGAATGTCCGCTCGTTAGGGCGGATTTCCTCTCAGTGTATCTTTACCTCACACGAATTGGCTCGGACGAGTGAATCGCGAGAGCGCTGAGACAAGTCGGGAAACGAAAATTTGCGCGGCGTACACGAGGGAGTACACACAGGTAGCAATAACAATTTCTCTGCTCCATTGAACGTTAATGGCGTCGTCCACTCGGAATCATCCGTTTGAACGAACATAAACTGCGAACAACATTTTCTCCGTTCTGACGTCGTAATTCAACGCGGCCGACGTGCAGGTATCGCCGTCGCTCGTGCGCCGAAGTATAAATCGCCCGAAGTGCAGTCGGCTCGCAGTAAATTCGAGTCGGCGATGTTGTTGCACGCCGCGTGGCCGGCACAGAGGAAGTGAGAGAGGGTGGTTAACAGTCTGATGAAGCTCGTGCGCTAATAATATTCTAGCGAAATATTCTCTTGCTAGCGCAAAGCCGTGGACGCGATAGGTCGCACCTCGCGTCAGATCGATAGCCAGGGAGGACGCGCGTTATAAATTCGGAAGTTTAATACCACCGTTGGCTGATGGTTCTCGCCAAGTGAATCCGCGTGCCGAATGTTGCGAATGTACTGGGATGTTTGGGACATCTCGCGCGTTTCTTCCTCGGTTATAAATTCCCTCGGAGTCTGGCATTGGCGAAGAGTGTCGTCTGTTTCGAGAAGCAGATGATACCCGAGCCGGGCGGTCGAGAATAAAAGAGGTGGCTTCATCCAGGCATCGCGGATGCTTTTCGAAATCCTGATTCTCAGTAACATCGCGAGTACATTAGGTTGATCTTAACAAGCACCAACAAAGGTTTATTCGAGACTTGTCGAGATATTCTACGACGGGACAGCGGCAAGGTACCAATTGGATTCTTAATGAGGAAAATTTGATTTTGCATCACCGGGGAAATATGCGTTCGCAGGAAGGTGCCGCAAGTTGCTGCTGCAGTTGTAGATGCAGTTGCTATACGCTAGTACCTTATATATCCCGAGAAGATTTGCGCGAGCGAGGCGACGTTGCGGAGCGAAATATGCGAATGACGGTAATATGTAGCGATACGCGCGCGGCGACGAGACGTCGTGTCGCGAAGAGAGTGAATTACGTGGAAGAAATGCAAATAATTGCGACGTATCCGTGAGCGGTTGCGGTCGCGTGAGTTATTCCAACGCGAGAGACGCGCTGGAATCGCGAGACGAGGGCTTGACGCGTTCTCTGGCGTGACGCCAATCTCTGCGTTTCGATTTTGCCAGAGGAAAAATAGAATTTACGGTTGTGTCTGCGTGTCTCGCGAGTTTTGTAACGGGAATTTCGAATGTGCGGGTGTTCGAAGGGCGTTTCTTCTGCATAGTTGCTTCTGTGCACAATGGCGTACAATCGAAATGTAATACACACGCGGAGAGACGCAGAGAGACGGTGCGTCTCTCGCACCGACGAACGCAGAAATTAATTTTTCAGGGTTGAGCTTTCCACACAAAAAATCGTGCGTGATAAAACCGCGATTCAAACTTTCATTCAGCCGGGCTGCCAGCGATACATTTTTATAAGAATGCAAAATATGTGTCGCGAAACTTTCTCGTACGCGCGCGCGCTTACGAATAAACCTCTCTTAGGAACATAACGCGATACTTTGTTTCGGGAATTTTGTCTAAAGATATAAGTTTCTCGATGGAATTGATATTTCATGAGATATCTGTTGGATTTCTCTTATTCAACGTTCTCGGACGATTTTGGGATACACTTTGATCATAAGTTTGCAAGAAAATCACCCGCGACGACTCGCCAATGAGATATCGATGTTTAATGAATCCCCGTATAACCGGGCAATATGAATCGTGATAGGTTATGCTGAGCAAATGCAAATTGTTACACCGAGTTTTAAACTCGTTACATTCAAGCGAGTACGGGCAAGATTCAGGATTACTTCGCTTTACGCCGCTGTCCCAGCGTTCTCGCCTAATTATTCGTTTAATTATTCATCTTACCTTCGAAAGCGTTCGCGAAAAGTGGAGAAATTCCTTACGTCCGGGCTGCTTAAATTATACATCGGGGCAATCAAATGAACGCAGCCGCCCTTTCAACCGAAGCTAGATGTTATTAACTACGTAATAATTTTGCGAATACATTTCCGAATTATTAGTCTGAAATTATTCAGGATCGCACATTGTCGAGAAAGTTGTATGTCTCTAATCGAGTTATATCTCGTTTCATTCCGATCGATATTACATACCAAACCGTGTTGTGTATGTGTGTGTATGTTTCTTAAATATTTATCTTTTGATGATAACAGCAGCGTTTTTTCGCGATTATACTTCGCACTCTTGCATTCTTTCTTTGCGTCGGAATTTTCGTTTGCGGGAATACATTGCGCGGACGTGTGCTGAGCAACTTGTTAAATCCCTTCCACATCTTGCCATTTATTATAAATAAATCCCAGGGAGATGGCGAGAGTCTCACCAAGATTATCGTTTATCCTCGCGCACGGATGATCGAACGAAAACACAACGAATATCCGTTTTATGGTGAA